AAATATGTATGGTCAACGAAAATAAAAACTATTTCTAATGATTCTTAACTGAAAAATCTCATAAAGCCAAGATGTTCTTAAGGTTTGATAAGCTAGTGATTCGTGCATAATTACTTGAAAGTAGAAATGTGCAGGTAATTTGGTTTGGCACTATCGATGTAATAGCTTGATTAGTGTTTAAACGATCTAAAATCTGTACTAACTCTATAAGATGCAATAGCTTTATCAGCAATAGAGGAACGAAGGCAATTTTTTGTCAGGAATCTTAATATACACGTTTTAGAGCAGATGTTTAGACCGTAAAATTTCAACTTTGCATTAACCGAATTGTCGCGTTTTCTAGAGCCAATGGATTATTGGGTTGCATATTGTAGGACTTAGTCACATCACAACATTCTTTCTTACGAGGAACAAAATATGTATCGCTGTTGCGAATTTCTTTCATCGGTTCATCTCGTTAAAACAAAATGCAAACAAACGGCTTTGCCGAACTTTCTCTCACACATTTTCCCAATTTGAGAAATTCAAACTCGTTTGGTCCACTGGGGAAAAAAAAACACAGAAAAGTAAGCAAATTTCACCTCCGAAAAACTTTTTCCGCAACTATGTTATTACGCGTGCTGTATTATACCACCACAAATTAACAAAGTCAGCCTTGAATAAGCCAACTTTATTTCACTGTATTATCGTTTTCCCCAGTAATGCTCGTAAGTAAAAGTTTGCACTGCTCAACGAATTTGGCAACGGTAGCGTGAAAAAACTCGGGAAAAAAATGTGCCCGACCACTCCAAGTTGAACTGGAACATTAAACTAAAAAAAAAAAAAAAAAAAACTTTAAAGAGAGTGAGCTGGAAAAGAGGTGGATCTGACAAACAAGTGGCCTGGATACTTTTGTTTCGCTGCTGAAAGGTTAGCTTGTAGCGCGAGAGAGAACGAGAGAGACAGAGAGGCCAAGTTCAGACTTTATTTGACTTTGTGGTTGTCCGTGGATGGATAGCTGTAATAAAGTTGGGGCAGTGTAGGTAAACTGCAATCGTTTCGTACTTGTCACGATAAACTTTAAAAAAAGCAACTTACGGTGTTTTCTACTCAGTCCGTAAAAGAGAAAAATAAGAATTCAAGTGACATATTAATTAAAATAAAAGTGTGGTCAAACATATTTTAGTACTTGCAATATTAGCTTTTTATAAATTCGTTTCTAAGTTTTAACAACAATTTTATTTTACTTTTTGTTATCGTATCATAGAGCAGCACTTTCAATTAATTTTCCATCCCAAAATTTATAAGTATAAACTGTAGGACATAGAATTAGCGTATCATTAAAAAAGGTTGATAAATAAATGTCCAAAACTGACCAACAAAGGGCTTCATTGCAGTAAAACTATATAATAAAAAAATCAACCTTCAACAAATAACTATCATTTATTGTTTTACGCAATTCTAACGACAGCTTGATTTTTTCCGCTGCCGTATGCAATTTTTCAGTATACGAGGATATACTTTAACGAATCGTGGAAGATACTTGCATAGCATACAATGGTAGTAGGCGTCTTGCGAGTGGCATCGCTATCGACTTGCTGACATGGAGGGTTTCTTTTTTGCTGAGACATATGTACTCTAAAAGGCACATAATTTCCCATGGATTGGAGCGATGTACATCTTTTTCTTATAAAAAACTGCATCCTTTCTGATTTTCTTGCTTTTTTTTTTGTTTTGTTGCAATTTCAGATTATTGTATGCCCTTTGAAAAAATACGTCGCAAGGGATACTCAAGGTGATGTGTTCTCAAAAATTTACAGTACATCTTCTAGATTTTGAATGGTATCTGTACGATGTACAACAACTTGTTAAAGTTGTACATTGAACAAAAATATCTTTCATGAAATTTAAGTTCAAGTTAATGCTACAAGTATCCTCTTATCTGTTAATCACCATGAGTTTCAACTTATATTGACCAAACATGTAAATTTCCATCTGTAAATATATTTTTGATTAGTTTACTTTTCAACCATTTTTTGTCATTGCATATTCATTCTGTTTTCAATCCACAACCAGATATGAGTTTCTTAACTGTAATTTATTCTTCCCATGTTTTTGAAAGTCTGGAGCTCTTCTACAATTTTTGAACATGGCGATACTTTGCAACTAACTTACTCAAACGTAATACTCTTAAAAAAAAATTTTTAATGTGGTGGAAATTTCCGAACGACAACTTTTCACGAAATCTGCAACAAGCTAAAGTGCAACAACTATTAACTAGACTTCCATCGAAACTCAAAGGGGGTTTCGATAAAGTTTTGTAAAATTTTAAGTACGCTAAGAAATATTTTCAATATAAACTCTGGAGTTTCATAAATCACTTGTGACATTATATACCATGGACACCATTGGAAACTCTAGCAAGTTTGTTCAGTAAAGGTAGAAGTATTTTTTCCTGAAGGAAAAAAATCAAACACGGAGGTATAAGTAAGAAATAAGAGGAGAAAAATAAATTGGAGGAAAAAAAAGCTGAGATTGAAGCACAAACAGCTCAAGGCAAAGAAATCAATTACAGAACATTATCCGAATAAAATGGCGTTAATTCCGATTGGATTAGGAGCATTAAGCGGAAGAGAACGAGATAAATAAGACAAGACACACTCAAGAGTACTTCTTGTTATTCGACTTCCTTTCTTTATTTTACTTTTTTACTTTGCCATTAGTACTCTTTCATTTTTTTTTCTTTTTTTAACTACCACTATTTATTCAAAATACTATTATTTACAGTATAATATAACGTACATGACAAAGAAAACATTAAAACTCTCTAGCATTTTTAGTGTTAACGTTTTACAGTACAAGTTTTAATTTAAAAAAAGAAATATAATGGTGGTATCGTAAAAGAAATAACCACGTTACCACGTAAGTGTATCTCATCCATAAAGAGGTCACGTGTTACGGTGACCTTCAATTATATTATACAAGCTAACAAGACGAACGCAGCTGATTGTAATCTCCACATTATCCTGCCACACCGCAATCCAAAATCAATAGTTCGCAGCTATACCATGTTGTACCTCTATCTCTCTATCTCTAGTTCTCATCCTGCTTCTCCAGCTTCGAGTAGGTGCTAATAACTGATGAGCTTGATTTTGCGTATGTTCGTACGTATTAATAGCACGTATCTGACAGATGATATTGATAAATTAGCGATTGTCGTGTACAGTGGGGATGCTCTAAACACTTGATTTAAGTTCCTGGGATGTCCACCTCAAATTTAGGATGGTACTGTTGTTTATCGATTTACTGATTCATCACTAAAGGTATGGCTCGAAACTACCTTCCTATGTATCAGTAATGATTCATTAATAGTTTGTTTTTAATAGTTAAATTTAAATTTTGATACTTTTTTTATACTGTATACTCTACACTGGATGACGACCATGGAGGGTTCGGTAATTGTAGACCCTTCGAAATCCTGGGGCATGATGGATACGACAAACAAAGCTGACTATGGGAGCTAGGACAAGTGATTGAAATGTATATCAATTGTTTCCCTCTGTTTAAGATATGGTACTGACTTTATTTGATTATGCCTTCCAGTCACCAGACTGTAGTCGCAAGTTTACTACTGGCTCTTACAACTTTGTTTGATCCACCTCATACAAGAAATTTGTAAACATTGCTTTGGTTCTAACTAATTTTTCTTATGATTTACGAGAGTCTCGGAATTTAAGAACGTCACACCGATATCTCGTATAATGAGTAATATTAAAATCAAAAAAACGATAGGACAACGAAAGCTCTAAGTATGCGGAGTATCTCGATACATCATCACTGTGCTCATAAAGAATTTAAAAAAAAAAAAAATTCCTATTACCAGTGTTTCCCAAATCTTTCTAAATTCTTAGGTAATGACATTTTATGTCTAGCAGCGAAAATAGATGCACACTATGATCTAAACATTGTTCATAGAAGAAGTAGATAAATATCATTCTACATGTGGAATTACGTAAAACCTGAATAAGGAAGTTGAAGATACGAGAAACTGTAGCCAACGATATTTTAAAACTGAACGTAATAATTTGCAAGTTTTAAAAAAAAATTTCCTAAAGCTCAAAAATATTGGATTTTGTCATATATCACGAGATTGTTTGAAAAGAAAGTGATAGCTTTTTATCATTGGCTCAACAAACTTTTTCGCAATTTCTTAAGATGTGAACATAAACTACATCAAAACACTTATTTGAGCAATTAATATTGAGCCAAAAGCAGGTCATATCTAGAAACAGCATACCTTGAGTGAAAAAAATACCATCCTGAAACTTCAACCGACCGTTCAAGCACCACTTGAAACAATAATCTCGGCAGTATATAGCCACGCGTGATGTAGAGTAAAAATAATAATTCATTCTGGGGCCGTAATCACGAGCAGCACTCGGAGTAGAAAGAAAAGGAGGAATAACAGCTCCTGATCCCTTAATCTTCGGTAACCCACGTGATCGCTATAACCTGAATCATTTGCATAAACGATAGCCCACCGAAACTGCATCCCACCCCCCGAAAAAACCCAGCCCCTTAACCCAAATTCAGCTTTTCATCCGCGTGTACCTACACTCCACGCTTTCCGCAAGCCATTCCCCCTCCTCCCTAATTCACCTTCTCCACTCCTTTCCATTACATACCTACATTTCGTCCTCACTCCCCACCCCCGCCCCTTTCAGCCGCATTTCACTTAAGAGAGAGAGAGAGAGGGACGGGGATACCAGCTCTCGGGCTATCAAATAGAATTTACTCGGGCAAAATGCATTTCACGCTCGTTACTCGCGTACGTACGTGCGTTCGCCCCACCGGGCTCCCTTTAACAAGGTTAATTGACTCTCGCGGGCTTGGCTGTCCATTAAAATCGCGCGAGCAGACATAAGACGACGTAGACGCTTCCTAAACGAGATGGCGGAGGGTCGTGTGTAGGTGTAGAGGAGAAGGTGGAGCGCGAAGAAGACCCATTACTCGACCTTCTCTGAGAGCTCGCGTCGATGGCGGAAGGGTAACAGAACTAGTGCGAGGTCGCACCCAAGGATGGAGATTCCGAGCCTTTGTTTTTTTTTGAGTGACGCTACATCTGCAGTTTATCGCTCACGTAAGCGTGATTATTTCATTACCCAGACCCACCGAAGGAGTTCGACTATGGTGGACCATACTGCTCATCTCTTGTGCGTTTTCCGTAGCTGAAGCCAAAACTGTCTTCGGAATGGAAAATAAAGTCCGAATTTGTTTTTTGTTTTTTTGTTTTTTAATAACAATAAAAACCACTTCGAAAACTACGTGTTCACAGTTCTGACACGAGTGAAGTTATGTCAATCTTAATTTTAACAAAAGCTTTGGATTCAGCAACAAAAAGCTCAAAGGGCACGACTGCAAGGCTGTGTTCTTCATAAAAAAAAGTATAAATCTCACGCGGACGAAAATTTGTTAACTGAACAAAAAGTAATACCGAAGGATTACAACGTAGGAATTTCTGAGATGGATATGCTCGTGGAGATCCAGTAAAGACAAGTTTCGTCCACGAGACTGTCACGAAGCTCTGATGCTACATCTACTGGAACAAACAAACAAACTCGACGGGATGTATTGCAAACATTACCCAATGCCCAGTCACTTCGTCGAGTACCAGGGGAACTTTGTTAAATAAACTTACTCTTATACAAAGAGTTGCAGTGTATAGGGTTTGAATACTTTGTTTGACAATGATACCGATGCAATATGAAACCGAGAGCAACGACTTAAGAAGTACATAGTATTCCTCTTTACTTGGCTGTTTCACGTACTTTTGTTTACTTTATATAACGTGATACGTGTGACTTGGTGAATGCATGTACACCGAGAGTTGCAAAGGGGGATGTAAAGCAACTTTAAATGTTTGTTATTCGATCGTGAGTTTCATGTGCGTTGGAAATGGAATGTCAACTATTTAAATTGTAAAAGTTACGGCATCGTTGGTAGGAAAGTGCGACATTTTTTTAATTTATAATTTTATATGTAACTACCGGTTTTATATAGGGCTATAGGGTGCCGTTTTACACAGGACAATGTTCATCCAGAGCTTACATTGAAGAAAATATGTACATCAGTGTACGTGCTCACGTGTGAAGTATTGGTTGATGAGGTAGGCGCCGTTACAACCAACACATATGCTCGTACGTGACTTGTTCAAGTAAAATTTCAGTTTTTAGTAGAATTTTCTTTACTTTGTTTTCAGCGCACTACGCTCGGAAGACGTTGAAAAACGTTTTCGAAATTTCACTGTATTTTAAGGGAAAGTTGTAATGAAGTTGTAAAAACATTTTGAAAAAGTCAAACGCACCCACTGCTTTTTATCGTTAAAACTTTTTTTGGATTCCTTACGTATTAGTTTGCATATGGAAGTTTTACCAATTAAACGTTGCTGTGTGGATGCCAACATCCATAGTTTTACTTGTTGGTATGATTGTAACAATCATTATTCCCACGGTTAAATGTCATTGTTCAGACAGTTACACCAAATTATCACATTAATTCCATGAAAGTTATTGTGTCGGAAACTAAGAAATGATTATTAATGACAAAAATCAGAGGAGATTCACGTTCTCTGCTGTGCAGAGGATTTAAACATTCTTTGTACTTTTCGACTGGTTAGCTACAAACTGAGAGCCAACCTCTTGAGTACAGCTTTCTGGATAGCGGATAGTTGACCTCATATAAGCAGTTTGATCTTGAACTCCGTGGTATTATTTCATGGTTGTTATTATACATTCAATTAGTGTAAGGACGTTTCTTGCACGTAAGCACTGGAGGTACTTCGCACACGCACTTGACGCGCTCGGAGCTGTAATCAACTCCCTCGCTTAACTCATCACCAACGTTCAATGTCAGATTTCCAAACTTGCACTTCATATCTAACAAAAAAAAAAGTTTGATTAACTTGATTTGTACCTGAAGATACCAAGTTTAGACTCTAAAACTTACCAGAGGCTTTTCGGGATCTTCCCATCACTCCGGACCAGCGAGTCACGAAATCAAAATCACTCTCTAAAATTGTGTTGAACATTATTTATTCATAAACTACATGAGAATCTCTTGAATATACGTTCTTTGAATTATTTATACTTACGGCATCTGTAATCAAAAGCACAGGAATCGTACAGTGGACGAGTGGCGAAATAAACAGGTGGGCAATTTTCGCGGATTTCCATCGATCGATGTACTTCGACTCCACAATTATTAAGCTTTCTGCAGATCATCTCCATTAATGGGACTAAAATTTCATATGGGTATCGTGTTATTTAATTTTCATAACCAGTTTTCAAGTTATGTTTGTAACATGAAAAAATTGTACCGTTCCATCCAGTTCTGGACTCTAAACATTGGCACGCGTAATCTTCACTCGGCTTAAACATTTCTCCGTATTTATAGGTGATTCCGTAGAACTCGCACATTCGTCTTTCTTCGTTGGCTTTTACCGAGAATACAAAGATTTTTAATTCTTAAGAAGATTAAGTACTTTAAAATATGGGTTAAAATATTTAATCACAATAATTTATTTCAAGTTCTAACTATTGAAAAAATGAGATGATGAATTCCTCGTCCAAGTAAGTTCTTATTTCAAAATTGTAGAAAAATAAAAATTAAGATTTCAAGAAACTGATGGACTATAATATACAGTAAAAATAAATCATTTACATCTATCAGTTATGGGATCAATAGATGGGATTTTTGATGACGAGATAAATGTATTAAGTCAATACTACTCACGACAAACCATCTCACCACAGCACTTGTCAACTTTAGGTACGAAAAAACAGCCCTCTTTAATAATATTTGGACAGCTAGGAGATGTACAGGATATCATAGCACTGCAAATATCACGAATCATCATGATAAATATCCATGGATCGTGGACCATTTGGTGAGAACTAAGTTCGTCCCTTTTATTTAATATTCGGCAATAAAAAAATTATTTGTGGTACCTACATAAAAACAACAAATAAATCGAGCAAGTACTACATTTTTTTCATGTTTTTTTTTAAGTGAGGGTTCTTCGTTTAAGAGGCAGCCCATCAAGTGTGTATCCATGCGTGTACATGTCCATGTATATCGACTATCCAAACATCTATACATTTACAATTCAGTCTAATCCTTAGTGCAAAACGATACATCGCGAGTATCGAAGTAAAACGAGCGCAAAATTCTCTGACTTTTAATCTACTGCATATGTCATGTTGGATCGCGTTTTAACCACTTCCAGTGTAATTATATCGAGTAAGTAATTAACCCCATCAATAGTGTTCACTTTTTGCGTGAAATCATTCATCACTTAGAGGTGTGGAAGAGTAAAAACAAATGTTACACAAAGTTTTGGGTAGAAAAAAATATTGAAAAGCCCTGTAAACAACCTATTGATATACTTACTAGCCGTCAGGTCCCTTTACGCAGACACAATTTTCGTCACATGGTCCAGACTCGACCCACTCGGGTAGTTCTTTGCCTACTTTAAATTTGTATCCATCTACGTAGCACTTGTCGGCCGATCTGCGTTTCAAATGCGTGCAGTCGTAACTTACTGCACAGCAGTCCCCTTCCTCAGCGTAGATCGGCTTGCATTTGAGCTCCTTGTAATACCTTATTGGACCCTTGCACTGGCTTTCTTCATATTTTATCAAAACAAAAGGAATTACTCATAATTTTTTACTATTTTTTTTTTTTTTTTTTTTTTTACAACCTCAGGATTAGGCTACGATTACACGGACCAAAAAAATATTTTAAACTTGTCTTACGTCAAGTTTAGACATGAATTTGACAAGTTTAAGATATTCTTTTGATCCATGTAATCGCAGCCTTATGCATTTCGTACTTTTTACAAAAACGTAATATGGTTATTGATGCTATTTAAATTACACAATCATGCTAGAACATTTTCGTTGTTCCGAAGTGCTTTGAAATGTTAAAATCAACAATTAAAAGAATTGAGTTGTTCTACGAAGTCGTATTTGCTTCAGTTGTAATACGTTCTTTTTCTATTTGCAATGTCATAAAACAATGTCCACTTCATGATCTGATAAAAATTGTATTAAAATAGCAATCTGTAGAATGCATAAATAAAAAAACAAAATGTTTAACTCATTCTCGACCACTCAAACCAAATTACACTGTATATTTCACTCTTATCTCGAAAAGACTGCAAAATTTTTATACGTAAAACTCATGCTTTTGATCCAAAACACCGCGCATACAATCCACTTTCTATAGCATGGAAAAATAACATTCACAAAAAAATCATTCAAGATGTTTACTAACTTAGTGCCGAAACTAGAACCATTGAACAACAGACTAAAAGTGTCAGCTTTTCACGAAACAACATTCTTCATTACATTAGCTACGCTCCTCACAACGACAAGACAAAGAATGATAAACGCACGCAATTGACGTCTCCTCGTGCTTGGGTTGTATCGAGAAACGCATAATTTTCCTTCAGCTACAAAGTGGGAGAAGACGAGTATCTGCCTCATGAGCTCACGACACGCCACCGTTTCAAAGTCATCCTGCAGCTTACTATAGTTCCGGCTCTCTTTTTATACCAGCTGTACTATTGCTGTTGTATCAAAAGCCGCTGATATCATTAAAGACAATAATCATCATACTCTACAAATGGATATTTTATTGTACTCATACAGGAAAAATTTTTTACCGATATTATTGTATTAGTATTTATCAGATCTACATTTGTATTAAATGATACAATACAACGACTGTAAGTAGGATTGTATCACATTATTCGTTACTAATATTGTTTTTTTTTTTTCTTTTTTTTTTTTTAAATGTAGATAACAAATCCGATGAAAATGTTAGGGAAATCAATATGGTTTGATTCTGACAAACGCTAATTAAATTGTCCTCATAAGGGAATCCCACCACCTGAAGATTCATTTAAAAAACTAAGCGTCTGGCACTCTGAGGTAGTTGCCATCAAATCCTTTGAACCAAAGTAACCCAAGATGCATTGTAAAACTACGCTATTGTCACGACTCTCAATAGCAATTCAAAAATTTCAATACATCCTAGATAGGTATACCAAAAGGACAATACCACGTGAAACTGAATCTCCACCACGTCGCTACATCCGCAGAGTTTCCCCCTCCGTTAGGATTCCCCCGGTTAAACCAAACTCGATTCACTACCGGCTCCTCGACCAATCGAGCCGTCACGCCCCCGAGGATAAATAGCGCGGATCGCAGCGTGGGCCAATTCACTTGGACCAAGTAGGCCATCGCGCCCCCTCTCACACCAGGAACGAGTCCCTCCTCTGCGTTGCCGAACTCGGAAAAACGGACCACAGCGCGGGGGGACGTGTGTACATTTTGTACGGAGAAGAACGAGGCTCGTCAATCACGCGGTGCTGGGAAACCACCCCTGACGTGGATTAAGCTCGAGCTGTCCACGCGGCCCATGGAAACACTTTACCCTCGTGCCAGATTTATCGGGTATAGGCGCAGATCGAGCCTTCGACGTTCACAATCCAACGAATCCTCCACCAACTTTCAAGTCTTTCAGAGTCATCAAGTACCACTTGGAGTCAAGCTAAGACTTTGAAGTCGTCCAAAGGCTCAAAAATCTCATTGAGTGTCATTCGTAGGCATCGGAAGTGATTCAAGGCCATGGAATGACTTTGAAGTTGATTTGGAATAGTAACTCCGAGTCAGTGAAAATCATTTGAATCGCTCGGTGACTTTAAACTCATTCGGAATCCTTGAGAGTCTTTGGAAGTCATTTGAAGTCATTGAATGAGTTTACAGATATTTGGAAACTTTTAAGGATTTCGTTGAGTGTTCCAAAGTCTTTCAAAGACTATTATAAACTCATCAAAAATCATTTGAAGTCACCTAATGACTGTAAAGTTATTCGAACTTACGAAAAGTCTTTGAAATGTGCTGGAAGTCATCAGGAGTCATTAGCCATTATTGAATCACTTAAAAGACACTACGGTCCATTCAACATTATTGATGACTTTGAAGTCCTTGCGAGGTCTCGAAATAACTTTGGAATTTCCATGGAACCTCGTTCCTTGCCTCGTGCTAGGTGTACCAACTTCATTTAGTTTAAAGGTTACCTATTCCTCTGTTGTTATTTTTTCCCCGGCCGGTGTAACGATGCCGCACCATTTCTCTTCGAAGTGCCCTGATGAGCTGAGAGTTGCTCGTTTACTCGGGCTGATTAACGACGTCGAGAAGGTTCGCGCAATTTTCGCGGGGTCAATACTTTCTGACGCACGCCACTCTCCAGCTATTGATTTCCCGAAGGCGGTTACAGACGGAAATTGTTATTAATGGCGGGGATAATCATCATATTTTTGGCGTGAAATGGAAGAAGGGGAAAACTCGTTGGGCGAGTCAAGTGGGAGCGATACGACCGATGATTTTTTCTGTTTATCAGGGGGGGGGGGGGCAACACGCGAGTGATGAATGTAACGGAACGCCCGGGGGGGTTATAAACGTGCGCGCATTATGGTCGGTCAGTTTGACGGACGGGGATGGTAATTACTTCGATTTACGCGCGCTCGTACGTCGTGCGGGTGGTCGAGGGATTTCCAGCGTTGCGCGTTGAACGATACCATTGATGTGTATGAAATTAATACGAGCTCGCTTGACTTTGGTGCGCTCAAACGGGGGTTACTTGTTCGCGAAACGATCGATGAATACACGGGGATTGCTTATGGGGAATTCCATACGGTGTTTTAGTTAGGTTGGGGGTGGTGTTTGGGGTGTTATGGCTGTAAAATGAAGATTTAAGATTGTTCCACGGATGTGCTAGAGATATAACCTAATTTTATTTTATTTCATGACACAACTAATGTGTGATCTTTTAATTTTTCCGTACACTTTTGTATACACATGAAATCGCCATTTTCATAACTTTATACCTCTACTACATAATTTTACTTTTTTTTTTGGTAAGTCCACTGTCTCTAAATTTCTCGTGGTTTTCATCGTAAGTAATGATCACACTTTTAATGCAAAAGAATCGATAACCCAACCACAGAAAAATTACGACGATAAGAATGTTTTTCATCTTATAACTTGAGTGCCCAACAGCCCTTTGTTGTACGTGGGCAACATTAAGTATACCATTAAAATTATCTACACGCGAGATAAGAAATAAATTACGAGTAATTTCATACACCCCCGTGCATTCTGGCGCCCCTTACCCTGAACGATGCACGCCACTCATGCAATTACCTCAAAGTTAATACAAAAGTAATATATCCTGCTAAAGCAATAGCTGCCTCGTCGTTAAGACAGCGAAGCCAATATCGTCGTCGTCATCCTTGTCGTGTGCTTCATAATTTTGAGCTTAAGCTCCGGCAACACGGGAGATACCTAGCACCACTTGTACCACCTTTTATCATTCGTCGAGATTCGCTTGCTGAATTTGTTTCAGCACAAAGAAGCCTTTGATATAATCTTTATTAATTTCTTTGCTCAGGCACGCAGCTTTTTGTGTCCAACACTTTTAATTTCACCGTATATGTATCGCGTACAATTTATCCTTTAGTCAAGAACAACATTTCTCGATGTTCTTTTGGTATTTCCCATACTTAGAAATGTATTACAACCAAGTATTAAAACCTATTGGTGTACATATCGTGAATTTCAGAAGCCAAGCTTAAGCCCTGAGTTGTCAGAGATGAGTAGTTTCCACTGCCTTATGTGTTTCCGAAAAAGCTAAAAACCCTCGCACATCCTTACATGTGTAGTAACTATGTGAAGCTAAACTGAAGGTTATGAATCTTAACTGAGTTGTGGGACCCTGTGTTTATGCAACGTGAAAGCGTTGGTGCATCCACTGCTGCTATTCTACAGTAGCGTAGAAAAAGTATCATCCTGTTGTAATATTTGTTATTAGTCTTTTTTTATGCTTACGAACAGGTTAGTTTTTGGCTCAAGGCTAGTTGGTAGGAGAAATTACTTTTTTAACGCTTTTTTCATTTTTTTTTCTATAAATAAACACTTTATACAAATATTTAAGTGATGACTAGTATTTTTTCGAAATGCATCCCACACCAAAAAAAAATGTCTCAGAATCAAGAAAATATTTACTAAAATAACTACAAGTTAATAATCTCTTGGAATAAAATTGTAATTTTTGACTTAAAAAAGTTTTTAAAAGAATCATCTTGTTTAAAAATAACATTTACATCGTATAACAGGCTATAGTAGTGAATAGTTTTTTAATTATAGGAAGTTTTTTCTCTCGATACACTCTGCACAAACAGTTTAAATTCTTAAAAGGCTCATGCACTTTTGACGAGGTCAAAATTTTTTTTAGTTTTCGAAATATCGTTTTATTTTACAAGAAAAATTTTTTTTTCAATTTATGTTATATATTAAAAGGTAATGCATTCCAATAGACTACCATAAAGTTTTAGTCCTGTTTATACCAAAAATATATCAATCCTCTATGTTTCAGAGAAAAATTAAAGTAATTAAATTGGAAAAACTATCCGTAAAATGATATAAGTTTTACAAAAAAATTTAAAACGTATGTTTTTGCATTTTCGAATCAACCAAGGATTTTACTATATCTTACAAATCTTCCAAAACTAGATAATAGATGAAATAGTAGTATCTCAAATATTTTATTTTCTAAATGAATTGGTAAGTTCTTAATTCAGTTTAATGTCATTTTATTTATTAGGCTCGCAACTTTGTATCCATTAAACAATTTAACACACACACGCGCACATGTTTGCAACATCTCATTCAAGTGAATCCATTACGTATACGCCGTCCATCTTTTTTTACGGTACCCGTGAGAGTCGTCGGTGTTACTCTACCGCATCGAAGTTAGATACAGCCGTGAGCTGAAACGCGAATAGGATTTCTCAAAGGAGATGAAAAAGTCGAGCAAAATAACGACGTTATCGGTAAGATCGTGTGACGGCACTTGAAAAAAGTTCATAGCGGCTCTCGTACAGAACGTCTCGTCTCGTTTATTCAAAACCGCATCAGACAAACACCTGCACAAGGATATTTTTAATGTTAGCAATCGTGTCTGATTTCTCATTTCATTATTCTTTGAAAGTCTGTCTTTTATACCTTAACTTCGAGGAGTTGAAAAAAACAAATATTTAAAGCAAACGAAGAAACAAATTATTGACATTTTTAACGTCAAGACAATAGTAACTCTATCACTACTTGTGTTCACTAGCACAATCCGTTTAAAAAAATTATTAGACTGGGATGTAAGTGCTTAATAGTTGATTTATGATAATTTTAATAATAAATCTTTGTGGGCAGAGTTTTCTATTAAATGTTCCAGGAATTTTTACGAAAAGGTTTCTTGATTGGGTGTTTCATTGAATCTAATCATGTCAAAAAATAGTTCAGCCA